TATTCACAAAGACCAGTTGAAGCCATTTTTAGATCTTCACTCTCAGGCAGGAGGATCTATTAGTATCTGTGTAAAGAGGGCCAGAGCTGGCATTGTGAAATTGCGTGTAGTTTTGGGTCTGGCAAAGCGTGTGATGTTTCCTACTATTTGAGGGAAGGGAGGGACCTCTCTTTGTTGGGGTGCTGTCAGTGTATGAGATATGCATGTAAGTCAAAGTAGGCTGAGCTCTAAGAAGCTTGACTCATATTTCCTTGGAGGATGCTGAAGAACAGACAGGCTGAAAACAAAAAATATATCAGTTGTTTCATTTATCAAAGTATTTGCGGTTCCCAGTTTGAAGCAAGGGAAAGCAAAGCAAATATCCAGCTAGGAAAGTGAACTTGAAAGCAAGAAGGCTGGGGTAAATAAGTTAGAAAACAGCACTTTGAAAATTTCCAAAACAAATGAAAAGGAATAGAGAAATGCTTTCTGCTTTTTCTCTGTTCTTTCTTCATATGTTTCTGTACACCCACTCTAGCACAGGGTTTGCAGTAAAAGAGACTGGCTCAAGGCATTAGTCGGCCATTTAATAGTGGTTTTGGCCATGGGCATATTACTTAACCTCTTTTGAGCCCCAGTTTTCTTATCTGTAACGTGGAGTTTATAATAAGAGAATTTATCTTGCAGGGTTATGAGAACGATAATCCATGTGAAGCAGTTAGTTTAGTGAGCCCTACACAAGCCTCCAATTAATGTTAGCTATCGTTCTTATTAGTCTCCTAAGAAAAATGACAAAGTACATGAATATTGCAAAACTGGAAAACTGAAGCTTCACTCGAAAATAAGAGGATCTTATAAATAGGCCTGTGAGAATCAGAATGTTCCTTTCAGGCATAGTCAGTCATCAGTGTATTGATTAAACTCCAAGACACACCAGTAGTGCTCTGGATGTTATATAAATGAGGAAAATAAACACAACATCCAAGTCATGTGGTGTTACTTCCTACAAATACAGAGGAACATTAAGGGGTGTTTTTTGAATGTGTGTGTTTGTGCAAAACCCTGTTGGTGCAACCTTCACGGGTTCTTATGTAAGAAAATAAATAATTTGACCCCGTTTTTGTGAAACAGACATTGATTGATTTAATACAACCTCAAAGGATGCAAAATGAGTCACAAAGACAGGTGTTACAGAATGAATGACAGGAATATATTGTCTTATAAGAGGAATTGTTATCTCTGCCTGGAACAATTTTTGCCTAGATATCCATTTGGATGGCTTTTTGTCATTTAGGTCTTGGCTCAAATGTCACTACTTCATAGGGACCTTCCCTGGGCAGCCAATCTAAATTAAACCCATCCCCTATTCTAGTGCTCTAGCCTTATCTTCTTTTCTTTTAAGCACCCATTCTGCTCTGAAATTACTTCATTCATGTATTTGTTGATAGTTTAATGTCCTCTCTTCCTCATAACAATACAGGCAAGTGACATCTGCCTTGTCCATCACCATATCCCAGAGCCTGGCTCACAGCAGGCATTCAATAAATAGTTGAACGAAGAAATAGTTGAATAATTGGATCTCATTTGGCTATTTAAAAAAAAAAACATAACTGGACTTTTCTGTTGGGATTTGGTTAGTAAATCTCAGTTCATCAGATCATTGTGGCTTCTTGGGATTGCACAAAAGACATCTCAGGTCATTGGAAATTTGTAGATGAGTTCCTTAATTGTACCATCTTACTTTAAAAACAAACATACTTGTATGAGTTTACTAAGACTGCCAGATAAGTGCCACAGACTACTGTTTAAACAAAAGAAATTTCTTGTCTCATAGTTCTGGAGGCTAGAAGTCTGAGATCAAGGTGTTGGCTGAGTTAGTTTCTTCTGAGGAATGTGAGGAAGAATCTGTTCTATGCCTCTCTCCTCTTCAGTTGCTTTGCTGGCAATCTTTGGCATTCCCAGGTTTGTGGAAGTACCACCCCTTCTCTGCCTTAATGGTCACATGGCATTCTCCCTGTGTGCATGCACGTCTATCTCCAAGTTTCCCCTTTTTTATAAGGACACAGTCATATTAGATCAGGGCCTACCCTCGTGATCTTATTTTAATTTGGTTACATCTGTAAAGACTGTCTTCAAATAAAGTCATATTTTGTGGTACTGGGTATTAGGACTCTGACATATAACTTTAGGGAGACACAAGTGAACCCCTAACAATACTGAACATTCAGGATGGGAGACTAAGCATTAGACTGAGCCACACACAATTGCTTATGTTTTGTTTTTCCCCACTAGACAAGAAACCCTCAGTTCAGGAAAATTTTAGAGCCATAAAAACAGCCCAGGCTTACATAAATATACAGACCTGTGCCACAGTGTAGAATCAATAACTACAGAGGGTGCCAAAAAATGTATACACATTTTAAGAAGGGAAAAAAGAAACTGTATTAAAATTGCAATACTCAATAAGATGGCTATAAGTCACATTTGACTTCTGCAATTACAAGAGGTGCTCAAAGTGGTTACCATTACCATCCAGACACTTCTGATTATGGCGAACCTCTCTTAAAACGTGTATATGTCTTTTTTGGCAACCCCGGCATTAGGTGAATACATTAATATGGACTTGTTCTTCTAAATGACATGCTCCTTTACCTTTTTCAAGTCTTGGTTCAAAGGTTACTTTCTCAGTGAGAACTAGTCTGACCACACATTTAAAAATCACAACCTCCTGACCGGGCTCAGTGGCTCAGCCTGTAATTCCAGCACTTTGTGAGGCCGAGGCAAGTGCACTGCTCTGAGCCCGCGGGTTCCAGACCGGCCTGGGCAACTTGGCAAGACCTCGTCTCTACAATAAATCAAAAATTAGCCGGGTGTGGTAACACCCGCCTGTAGTTCTGGCTGCTTGGAAGGCTGAGGCAGAAGGTTGCCAGAGCCTAGCAGGTTGACGCTGGTGTAGTGGTGAGTGTGCCACTGCACTCCAGCCTGGGCAATGGAGTGAGACTTCAACTCAAAAAAAAAAAAAGAAAGAAAACAACAACAACAACAAAACCCCCCAAACAAACACAACCTCGAAGTGCTCATCTCCTTTTCTCTGCAGCACTACCTCCCATCACACACTCTAATTCACTTGTCATGTTAATGGCCTGTCTCCCCCCACTAGAAGGTAAACTCTGTGAATGCAGGAACTTTTACTGTTGTGTTTACTTCTGTAGGCACTAGAACTTGTTATAGTGCTTGCCACACAGTTGGCCCTCCATTTTGTGGAGTGAATGAATAAATGACAGGAGAGCTCTGGAATCTTCTGGCGTGAAGTGTCAGGTTTTGCTTGAATCTCTCCTTGTCCTTCATAGAATTTCAGCACTTAGTCTTTAAGGGACACCTCGAAGATCAAACCCAATTTTGATGCTTGAATTCCCTCTTAAACTAGTGACAACTTCCATTTTTTTTTTTTTTTCTTCTTTAAGACAGGGTCTTACTTTGTTGTCCAGGCTGGAGTGCAGTCATGGCTCACTGCTGTCTTCAACTCCTGGGCTCAAGTAATCCTCCTGGCTCAGTCTCCCAGTAGCTATGAATGCAGTAATGCACCACTATTCTGGTTAATTGTTTTTATTTTTGTAGAGACTGGGTCTTGCTATTTTGCCCAGGCTGAGAACCCCAATTTTGATAATAAAAGAGTAAGGAATTGAACATTTTTAACAATAAGTAAAATAAGGGGAAGTGAGGACCACTGGCAGGCCCATACTTCACCTGCATGTAGACCACTTGGATACTTAATCTTGACTTGTATCCTACACCTTTAAAATAAAGGAAAAAGAAAAATGAAATTGAATAAAAACATTTATACATTCAAATTCATTATACATTGAATTAAAATATTAATAAAGTGTCTACGTGAAATTTCCTTATAAATTAAATAATATATATATCTGAATGAAAAAGTAAAATAATGTGGTGTGGTGTGGTGTGGTGTGGTGTGTATGCATAGCACAAAGGTATGGGGAACAGAAGCAGAAGGCCTGCCCTGGGTGAGTTCAAGTTAGGCTCAGAGAAGGGCAAATATACTTTGAAATGCAACTGGCGCAGGATGGCACATAATTTTGTCAATGCAGGAAAGTCCAGATTATAAGCCAAGCCAATGCCAGCGGACAGCATAGTGTCATAGAGCAACACTTTTCAAACTTTATGCATATACCAACTACGTGGGGATCTTGTTAAAATGATTCTGGTTCTGGTGTGGGGCAATTCTAACATGTTCTCAGGGGATAGCTTTGCAGGACCACGCTTTGAATAACAAAGAGCATGGAGTCACCAATTACCTTTGTGATCTTCAGTAAATTATTTAACTGCCCTGTGCTTCAGTTTTCTCATCTGTAAAATGCAGATCAGATAAAGAAGTCTCTGCAAAAGGAATACCTTTTAAGTGTCCCTGATGATCTGAGTTACTCATATGCTTAAGAAGGGGGAGCATGGCTGAGGGAGCGGGGGTGGGAGAGAGCCAAAGAAGTCTTAGCTGCATTTTTATAATTTTTAGACTATGAAATGTATTCAGGTATTGACCTGTGCGCCAAGTTTTCTCCTCTCCCATGAAGGAAAATTACACACTTGGCCAGATTAGTTGATGCATGTGACATCGCCCAGGGTGGCTGAGAAATCCTGCTGGCAAATTGCTTTGAGTCCTGCGTAGGGAATGATTTGGATCGGGAGCCGAACTCTGACTTCCTCTCCCTTACACAGGGCTCAACGCCCCTCTCAGGTATTCAGAAAGATTACCTTTTCCCCAGCACCTGGGAGAGGCGGCCACAGTGAGGCGCTCGGGAGAGGCGCCGGGAGACGGCGAGTACCGGAGAGCCGGCGGAGTAGGGGTGCGGGGCGGGGAGAGGGCCGGCCCACGTGGACCGCGGGGCCAGGCGGGGGCAGGAGCTGCCGAATGCCCCGGCCAATCAGCGCGGCCTGCGGCGGGCCCGGCTCCTCCTGCCCCCTCCCCGGCCGGCTGGCTTGTCAGGCTCCGCTCCACACGGCTCGCTGCGCGCCGCCCTGGACTGGGCGCACCGACGGCGCGCGCGGCTGCCGGAGGACCCCGGGAATCCGGTAGCAGCTGCCCTCCCGCGGCCGCTCCTTCTCCCGTGGCAGCTTCGGGCTCCTCTTTGGAGAGACGTGGGAACTTTCTGGCTCTTGGCAAGGCTGCAGAGGTGATGGGCCACTCCTGGGGCGCCCGCAAAGAGGCGTCACGGTGAGCGTCTTGGGGCTCCGGTGCGGCGATCAATGCCTGGTCCTGGACGCTTCGGTCCGACTTGGCGGCCAGCTCAAGGAGTAAGACGGGTTAGAAGGGAAAAGGAGGAGCGAGGAGCGGAAAGATGGGGTGAGGGGTGGGTTTGGACCCAGGACTTAGAGGCTGTCCCAGAGGCAGCAGCTGCTTCTCGGCTGGTACCGACTTAATTCAGCTCGGGGCAGCCCCCTTATTCTTGAGCTCTGGGGTGCGGGGGGTGACCGCTTGTGCTATGGTCGGCTTGCACCCCGCACTTGGAAGCTGCGCTCCGAAGTGAGGATGTGTGGCTGGGGAGGGGCGGCAGCCGATCCAATTTCAGGGTGGTGTCTGCCAATCAGAGTCCCCGGGACGGCTCTGCGGGTGCGGGTGGCCACTTGATGCACTGGTGTGAGGAGGGGGAGCGTGAACTCGCCGTGAGCGCTTGTCTGGACCGGCCGGCGTTGGGGCTTCATCCCTTGGATCTGAGCCAGGAGCAAGTCAGCTCTCCACCTGACCCTCTGGCGGCGGGGCTCTTGCTGGAAGGGCTCAGCGAGCGCTCGGGACGCATCCTCCAGCTGCGAGCGCAAAGCTTCCCGCGCAGGTGGGTAGCTGGAGCCGACCTGGAAGTTCCGTCTCTTCCCGCGTGAGGCACCTGGGATTTGCCCACCAACGCGGCGTCTCTACATTTCTTGGGCTCTTATCCCCCCCCCCCCCTTTTTTTTTTGCCTCCTTTGCTCGGTCAATTCGCTCCTGGGAGGGAGATCGTCTTTAACCCCAAGCGAGGAGATTATCCTTGGGAGGAATGGCCATGGATAGCTTGCACCTGGGAAGGCAGCCCAAGACACACACCGTGCCGCCGGTGCGTTTTCTTCTCGAATCAGTATCATTTAACGTATGGGGGCTCTACGGACCCCTTCGAAAGCCTTAGCCAAGGTTTGAATCCGCTCTTCAGCAATACGTATGCGCGGGTTCACGGACTCGCAAAGACCTAGCCATACCCCCATCCCCCTACGAGAGATTTAGGGACCCCCTTTGGTGAAGCGTCTTTATCCCTGAACAGTTCCCTTTTAACTTTTCACTGGCCTTCTGTCTGAGAGGAGTAAGGATGGTGTGATGTGACAGGCGATGCCCTTGTGAGGGGATGAGCGCTTTCGAAGCTGTCTGGTTCTTTCTCTAATATCCTTGGTACCGGGATTGTCCCGAAGCCTCCACCTGCGGGCGAAGACGTCCAAACTTGCGCACATTGATAGTTTAGCTTTCTGATTACAAGCATCACACAGTTTGCCACCCCCACCCCAAACACTCGCTGAGGGTGGCACAGGTGGGGACAATTTTTGTGTCTGAGTCCAGTTCAGGTAGGGGCTGGATTTTTTATTTTTTTAAAAAAAGGACTCAATTTAAGACCAGCCATTTTGCAGTATAATTAGTGTTTCTACTTAGTCACTTGACGACAAATGTATGACTTGGATTTTATAGTGAGAAGCTCACTTTGGATTTTATAGTGAGAAGCATTTCTGCTAAGTTTATGGTCATAAATCAGTGTGCAAGCCCAATAGTTCCTTTGGTTTGGAAATACAGGTCTTAATAAGGCAGTGTGAGAGCAGTTTTCAGAATCGTTATGACTAATGATGACTTATGTCCTCCCAAAATGACCGAGTGAGCTGGCATGGCTCATTTGGGCAAAGAGCTTTCTTTGTATGTGTGGACATTTCTTGATCAATATTCTCCTAGCTGAAAGCTGTATTTCAAGGTTTTCTCCCTAAGTTCTTCTGTCTCATTGTTCTGCTTTTTGTGACTTTTCTCTCTTCCCTCAGCCCCATCTCAACTGCCCTTTGACACTTTAAAATTTATTAGAAGGCTTTAGGTCACAATTTAACGTGACTAGTTTTCCCTGTTACACAGAAGTTGTTCTTCCAAGAAAAGCAGTGACTGCCGGTTTACCTGTTTTTGAATGACTTTAATTTCATTACTTCTCCTTGACACAAACACCTACAAATATGACTACTTGATAACTGATTTATTTTTTTATTGAAGGCAACTTTTCAGTATTTCTAGTACTAAAATGTTCTAGGTCATTTGAATTTCAATATTCATTTTCTGATCTTTTTTAGAGATGTGTTTTGTTTGATGACCTAGTTCCGTTTAGTAATTTAAAAAAGAAGAAAAAACTCCTCTTCTTCCCCACCTCCTTTTCAGTGGTACATAGCCTTTTTCTAATAGCTGCTTTTATCTACACCACTCATTTATTGTTACACTTAATATAATACTTTGTTATGTAAATGGTGTGTTGATGCATATGATATTAAAACTGCATTCACTGGGGATTAACCTTGGGGTATGACATCATCACCAGCCAATCCTCTATCTGATTTGAACATGCATTGACAAAAGTCATATTATCATATTGAGCAAGGGATTCTATATTGCTTGTGAGGGAGAGAAAGAGGGAAGTCTTTTTGGCTCTTCCTAACTCTCAATTAGCTGCCCAGTTGGAGAGTTTTGGGTATTTCTATACTAAGGAGCTTAGCTTAATAATAAAATTCTCAGATTGCAGTTTTATAGATCTCTAAGTAGATTTTCCCCCTTATGCTTTCTTCCTCTCTGGGAGTTTTTCACCCTGTGTTCTTGCTCTGTTTCTTTGCAAATATGTAGAGACATCATGATAAAAGCCTGGTTTTTTTGTTTTTTGTTTTGGTCCTCAGAGATGGAACAACTAGGTGATGGGCTAATTTGGGTTGCATACATTCATTTCATCAGGTGTTGGCTATAAATCAGTGAGGATTAACAAGATGATTCAAGTCCTGATGCCAGTCATAAATGATTGGGAGACCATAGAGGGTATTTATCCTAATTTGTTAGGAGGATTCAGGCTTGAGGGTGGGGGGCAGGCAATAGGAAGCAAAGATATCCACAAAGGGATTGGTGAAGTGATCTTGACCACATTCATTACTTCATAATTATTTGTTTTGTAAGTGTTATTTTAAAAAGATCATGTCAGCCAGGCATGGTGGCTCACGCCTGTAATCCCAGTGTTTTGGAGGCTTAGGTGGGAGGATTGCTTGAGCCCAGGAGTTTGAGACCAACCTAGGCAACATAGAGAGACCTCATCTCTACAAAAAAAATAAAAATAAAAAAAGTAGCTGGGCATGGTGGTTTGTGCCTGTAGCCTTGGCTTCTTGGGAGGCTGAGGCAGTAGGATTACCTGAGCCCAGGAGGTTGAGGCTGTGGTGAGTCGTGTTGGTGACACTGCACTCCAGCCTGGATGACAGAGTGAGACTTTGACTCAAAAAAATAAATAAATAAAAATAAAAAGCCCATGTCAGAACCCTAGGCAGTCCTTAAGACTTAGAGACTTTTGCTGTCGTATAGAGTTGCACTTTGTAATAGCCCACCCACTCAATTTGTGACCTGCAACCCATCTCTCACAAGATAAAATTAACCTTGACTTTTCATCTATTAGGTATTTGTTGAAAAAAAAAATTCTTCCTGTGTTGCAGTCACTAGTCAAGTTCAATCTATTTTTCTCTGTAAAGTCAGTCATAAGGGGCTTTAAAAAAAAAACTTAATTGCATGATCTGGTTTAAGAAAAGACTCAAAGTCTCTAAAACTTTTAAATCTGGAAAGTACTTCAGACTTTAGCTTTCTAGAAGATCAGGGATACGAGGTGTTGTGCTTTGAATCTATATGTTATAAAAAGAAATGGGATTAGAATCTCAGAGTCCTAATTCCTAGCCCAATGCCCTTTCCAATGAAGACCTGGAGAGAACGACTTCGGTGATGTGGTGGGAACCCTCTTCTTGGTGTATCTGCAGAGGAGAGCCACATTGACTTCATGTACTATCGAGGCTTGGTTTGTTAGACCGCCATGCTAACTGAATCCAGCTCAAGGTTTTGACAGCTGTATGTATCAGCTTCTTTGGGTTACTTACTGGTAGCAGTTACAAAGGAGAGGTTAAAAAGAGAGCTGGTGGTAGAAGAGGATTGGGCAGGATGACTCAGTTTCGACCTGTCTGAGCACATGGAAAGACACGGATGTTAAAATGTTGGTGAGGCAGTTTTAGGTAATGATTTAAAGTTTACATTGAAAGGGAACTCAGAATATTAATCGATTGCATGATAGTCTCCTCTTTCATACTATGTGTCTTTTAGTTGCTGTAAAAACCAACACTAATAATTTAGAATAAAACTATTTTCTGGCATGGTTGTGAATAATGATAACAATACCTTACATTTGTTGAACACTTAGTATGTGCCAGGTGTAGGATGTTGGTGTTAAGGAAACATTCTGGTTAATAGATGGCTTTCTCTATATGGATAAACAACTGATTTTCAAGGAGTCATGAATCTAAAACAACACTGAATCTTTTTTAGTCATTCTTTTCAATTGAAAAGCTGTCTTATCTTACAGTAGCAAGTCATTAACACAAACATAATTTTAATTCAGAAGTATGGTAGCGTCAAATATTAGGGAGTTCTTGTTAATAAAATGACAAATAAGACACTCCATTTAGAAAGATAATCAAGATGCGGATAATTTGTTTTCTTTTATGAGATTATAGTATTGTTATTGCAGAAGAATAAAATATTCTTGTTTGAAAAATATGAAGATATCCCTGTATTTTCTATGAAGTAAGAACAAAACCTTAAGATTTAAAAAAAATTAAAATATGGCAATGCACACAAACTACTCCATTGGCTTTGTCGTGCTGTAAGTTGATTTCAAACTGGAAAGCAATTGAATGTTTCTGTAGAGCTTCAGTTAATTAAAGGTGGAACTGTCAAAAACTAGAGTAGTTATTATTAGTTTTTTAATGACCACTGTGTTTGCTTGGGTACTCTTAGTTTCACATCTATGCTATATATTCTAAAGTTTTCACTGCAGATTCATGGTTTTCTTCATTTTCATCTTGTCCTTTGTCTAATGAATCATGAAAATACTGATAAGTCCTTGGTACACCATAGCTACTTACCTGTGAATCACTGGGTGTACACCCTCAGACTTTAGACACAACTTCTAAAAATAACAAAATGTTTCCAACAAGGAAGAAATGTAAAGACCATTTAG